TTCACTTGAATACTCCGCTGGATTGCTCCGGGGATCACATAATTTTGGCATTGAATAGTGCAGAATAGTGTACAGACTATCGCGTTTATTTTTAGACTGCCTGCTGAGGGCTATGTTTCGTGGGAGCACATTTGAGATGTGCCGTCTTGTTAATATTAATGTACCGCCAAACTCGCTACGAGTGTCGTCATCGCTTGGGTTATCCCAAAGTGCGATTTGCAGGTCAGATTACCACTGTTGAATATTCTATTACGTTTAGTTAAAGCGCGTGGACTTAGAATGGCATAATAGATGTCTTACGGCGCTTTTGACACAGAAATGACAGTTACAGCGTCAGCGGGGACCTTGTTCTGATATTATATTTGGCTAGTGTTTGTTTCTGACTTCTTTTATTTCATTTTTGTGGGTGCTTTTCGTAATAGAACAGTTTTTTTAATTGGGCGGCACTGCACGACCGTGCTCTAAGGACGAACCGCGCCTGCTTTCGGGCCACAGTTATAAGCAATCCCAAGCACTGATTATGTAAGCTAACTATTGCACTGGTCGAGTCTACCTCACAGATGTGAGGGGAACTAACTCCTAATAATATCTTGACTGCTGCGAGTTCTTGTTTTTTATTCCTCGACTTTTTACCGTCCTATAATTAGATCGTGACCTCGATTATGACACCGGCTCCTGGCCGCGAAACGCTAGACAAAAACAGCCCAATGTGAAGTGGAAAAAAAATAATTGTCATTTTCTACCAAAGAGTTTGACTCATTTGTGTTACAAACAAAATAGCATGACGTGTAGTACTGACATCTCTGCTTCTTTGCTTTGTGTTTGTGTATTCACATCTAAAGATAGATATTAATGTTTGTTGGAATAAATATTTGATTATATACTTTCCCGATTATTTTCGCGGTTGAACATGCATACAACATGAATTCAGGATTTGTTTTCATTCACAACTCAGGTGTTGCCGCATTGAGTAAGATTCTTGTCTGATATCTCCACGCCCTATCTGGTCCCATCTCACTTTGATTACCCTGTCAAACAAGTCAGCCGTCGCCCCTGATAAGGGTTATTTTTTCATAAAATGTGAAACAGCACGGTGGAATCAAGCGTTCGTCCTTTTATTTCAGCATACTGAATGTTATCTTAAAGCTAGTTCATTTTCCGTGCTTTTTGGAGAAAAAAAACCGTATCTTTCTTGGATATAATAAGTCGAGATGTCTTCGATTGAAGAAGGTACGAGTTCCTGGTTTGGGGGAGATTATATTAGTGAGAAAATAGCCGCCAGAGTGAGGTGACTTCCTAAGCTTGAGTGTCCTTGAAAACTGCAATTATACATTCTTGCATGTCTTTGATCAACGTCTTTCAGTTAAATCCGCACAGAAATATCTTTTTAAAAGGAATTAGAAGGTGATGAGTCAAACAAAAAAAGAAAGTTCGATAAAAATTGTCCGACAGGCGGAAAAATGTCGGGGGGGGGGGGGGGTTATCATTATTATTTTTACGAGCGTCTGATTTCACCACGATTCCACACAACATTGGAGAGTTCGAGGACAGTTTTATTTTGGTTTACTCCCTTCTCTGTGCATGAAACAGGGACCGGTGTCTGTGGCATAGCGCTTGGACACTTCTCCATCGCACGCTCAAAAGCTCGATTCCCATGAGGGGAGAATCTTTATTTATCGAGAGTATATTATTATTATTTCGTTCTTTCTGTTTCCACGTTCTCTCTCTCTCTCTCTCTCTCTCTCTCTCTCTCTCTCTCTCTCTCTCTCTCTCTGTG